AGGCTGAGTCAACCCTGAGCCGGTGAGATTTGAACCGCTGAACTGCTGATCTAGCAGTAGCCTGCAGTGCTGCATTTAACCACTGCGCCACCACGGCTCACGCACCAAGGTTTGGAAGAAGCCATTTTTTAAAAAAAAAAAAAGGTTTTGTACTCTTCAAATCTCTCCAAAACGGCCCGTTTTTTGCAAAAACGGTTACATTTTCCTTCCCCTAAAGGCATGAATAGTCTTTAGGGAGCTTGCAGAGTGCTCCTGGTGGGTGGGCACCCAAAAACGAGCAAAAAACAGCCCGTTTTTCATCAAAAAAATTGCATGCATAGCCTCTAGGAGGCTTATAGAGTACTCTTGGGGGCTGGAGGGGGGGAATTGAGCAAAAAACGGCCCGTTTTTCACTCATTTCTGCCTTCCCCAGCTCCCAGGAGCTCTCTGGAAGCCTCCTACAGGCTCTGCACTGCCATTTTCGTGAAGGGGGCGGGGTTTCAGGAGGCAAAAAATGCTGTATTCAGTGTATAAGACGCACCCAGATTGTCGGCCTCTTTTTTGAGGGGAAAAGGCGCATCTTATACTCTGAAAAATATGGTAATTCTAGCACTCGGTAGGAACTGTCCTTTTCTCTCGCCAAAATCAGGCGCCGATGCTTTTAAAAGACAGGGCTTTGTAACTGCTGCGGCTGCTTGACTTACAATCTTTCGTTTAGTGACCAACGTCGTTAAAAGGCATCTTGTGACTTGTTTTTCACACTTATAACCGTCGTAGCATTTGGGAGGGGAGGGGTCACGTGTGATCAAAATTCAGGCACTTGGCAACTGGCGTGTATTTGTGATGGTCACTGGGTGATCCCCTTTTGTGACCGCCTGACGAGCCAAGTCAGCAGGGAAGCCGGATTCACTTAAGAACATGCTGTGTCTTGCTTAACGGCCAAAAATGACGTCAAATGGGTCAAAATTCACCGAATCGCCTTCCTTAACAATGGAAATGTTTGCTCAGTAGGAGATATAAATGAAATCTTGCTTCCTCCATTGACTTTGCTCGTCCGAAACAGCCGGGAAGCTTGCAAATCACTTGACCCTGGGATACTCCAAGGTCCCTTTCCAACCACTCTGTTGTTCTGTTGTTCTGTGCAGAAGCCTTGAGGAAAAGTGCCTCCGAGACGAGCCTGAAGTCTAAGCCGTTTGCCAGCCACAAAGAGTCCCGGAAGAAGAGCCAGACGTGTCAAAATTTCTTGGGGTCCTCCGATGTCCAGCGAGACTCATGCGCTACCACTCCAGACCCCGAAGATCAGCCCACCTTCTTCTTCTCCGACCAGGACAAAGAGGCCTTCCCCTCCAGCGATCCCCAGGGTCTGATGTTTCCCGACGGCTTCCAGCCGCTACGCACCGGTCAGGCCGCCGCCAGCCTGCCTCTGGAGCTGTCGCCAATCGTCAAGAACCCCTTCATGTCGCCGCTGTTGGCCCCGGATGAAATGTTGAAGGGACTCCCTCCGGTTCATATCGTGGTGAGCAGGCCTGTGTGGCTGCAGGGAGGGGAAGGGGAGGGGAGCGGGGTTGAGTAGATGCGTGAGTTGGGGAGCAGGCTCGCACAAAGCCTATTGCGACCCATAACCCTTAACTTTACCCCTAACCCTAACCCGGATGAAATGCCCTAGAAATGGTTAATCACACCATGTTCTTTATTTTATTTTTATTTCATTTGTTCCCTTATTTATATATCTCACCTTTGTTATTTTTATAAGAACTCAAGACCGTGAACATAATCTAATCTACCTTCCTCCTCCTATTTTGCCTCCCCCAGCAACAACCCTGTGAGGTAGGATGGGCTGAAAGAGAATGAATGGGCCAAGGTCACCCAGCTCACTTTTATGCCTACAGTGGGACTAGAACTCCCAGTCCTCCTGCTGATTGGCCGAACGTTACCCAGCCAGCTTTCATGGTTGAGGCAGGACTAGAATGCTCAGTCTCCTGCTGATTGGCCCAAAGTCCCCCCCCCCAAGCGGGCTTTCATGCTTAAGGTGGAACTAGAACTCACATTCACCTGGTGATTGCCCCAAAGTCCCTGCAGACGGCTTTAATTCCTAAAGTGGGAGTAGAACTCTATCTCCTGCTGATTGGCCCAAAGTTACCCAACCGGCGTTTATGCCTAAGGCGGGACTAGAACTCTCTGTCTCCTGCTGATTGGCCCAAAGTTACCCAACCGGCGTTTATGCCTAAGGCGGGACTAGAACTCTCGGTCTCCTGCTGATTGGCCCAAAGTTATCCAGCTGGCTTTTATGCCTAAGGCGGGACTAGAACTCTCGGTCTCCTGCTGATTGGCCCAAAGTTATCCAGCTGGCTTTTATGCCTAAGGCGGGACTAGAACTCTCGGTCTCCTGCTGATTGGC